GTTGCAATTTGTTCATGAGATATACAGATTGGGCGCTAACATACATGCCCTCATCAGTGGCCAAGATGGTTTGCACTAGTCGAGCCTCAGCCAGCGTGAACCCTTAAAGGAATACATCCTCTTTGCCATGAACAATTTCCAGCACAGGTGTAGTTACCTCTGGCGGGGGATGGATGGATGAATTTTCGAAGACGATCGCCACTCCTTTTCTGTGAGGGTACTTCAGCATTTGGTGGAGGGTTGAGGAGATAACTTTCGCTTGATGCAACTAAGGTCACCTAAGTAGTAGATTGAAAGTGGCCGGCACATCAAGGACATGAAACTCGATATCCTGTTGAGCTGGACCCACCTAAACTCTGATCTATATTGTGCTTATGACCTCCCAGCTGGTATTATCGTACACCCGAATCACCTGGGCTGTAGGCACAAAATCTGCTCGTCTAAGGCCCATGGCGTAAGCTGTACGGGATGGATAGAGGTTGATTGATGACCCGGTGTTGACCAATACCACTGGCACCCACTTTTCTCTACACTCCACTGATATGTACAGAGGCTTGTTGTGGGCTGAGCCCTCCGGCGACAGTTTCTTATTAGAGAAGGTTAGAGTTGGCACAACACCCCCTGGGAAGACCAGCCCCACCAAAGTTCAGGAGTTGTATCAATGGACAACTTGGCTTTGTCCATCATTAATAGTTTAGCCTATCTGTGCACTTAAGAAGCCATAAGCAGACCCCAGATCAAAATATCAGCTTGAATTTTCTTCAACTATTTCAGCACAACCTCTTCTTCTAATTGTTTTTCCTTCTGCTTTTCAACTTCTTTATCCTTCCCGGATGCTTCGGCTTGGTCCAAGTGTGGTGGTTTGAAATATTGGCCACTTCTCGTCATGTAGTCGATCTCTTCCACGTACCAGGTATTGTCAGGAAGGTCTTCACCCAAATCTTCATCGGTGTGAGCCAAGTGTAGGTCATCATCATTTCACCAGATTCCTTCGACAGCCGACAAACAGTTGTCCGGCTCCATTCGGATCAATTTATCACCATAAATCTCCCCCGCAAGGTGTTGAGCTACTGTCACTTCTTGGTTATCTTCGTCCTTTTCTATTGCAAACTACTTTAGCGCAGCCTCCTATTTTGTATTCACGGTATTCACGATGCCCGATTCCTAAGTTGATTGTTCTACACCAGTGTCCTCCAGTAGTTTCCCCTTTTCATCAACCATTTCAGCCATTGCAGCGGTTTCCACTTTTTATTCCCCCAACTTCAGCTTATTTCCTTCTGCTTTGTTCGACTCGTCACTGAGCCACCCAGAATTGCCTGCTGATCCATTCAAATCAAACCAATCAGTCTACACATTTCCTTGATCTTGTTCGTCAAAGAATTACAGATTGTCTGTATCCTCCTCTAAGTCCGCCAGATCATCTAACCCTTGGCTTGGGCCATCATCTCAAACTACATTGACCTGCATCCCAGTTGGCAATACCACTTTCGGCTTGGCTTGATCAATTGGCGCAATGTAATAGCACGGGTGTTACAGTAGTGTAAATGTATGTGTTATCTTTTGTATAATTCAAATCATATATGAATGGAAAGGATATTCCTTTTGGAAACGCATTATCTTATTTGATTAGACGTCTTGAGCTATTGTTATATTTTCAGAGTGTTACAGTAGATTGCCACTATTTCAAAGTGGAGGTCGTACAAAGCTTGTGAAAGCTCTATAAGACTTCTAAGAAAATAAGAAAGAAAGGGGGATATATATAACTCATCAAAGTAGTTAAAGACTCATCTTCTTACTCATGGAATATAGATATAAAATCCATTTCGATGTTCAAAATTGCTCGAAAGGAGAGTTTTTAACACCTTTTAATGAGAAAGCCCTTATAACTTCAATCACATATTCTAAAAAAGGAATCTAAGGAATAGAGACTCGGCCTTCCACTTCCACAACCTAAATATCACATATTCTGGAAAAGAAATCTAAGGAACATAGGCCTAGCCTTCCATTTCCACAACCTAAATCACATATTTAAAACAATAGAGATAAAAGAAAGTTGATTATCAAACATTCTTCTTTACATCCTCACGGCTATGAAGTATGTTTTGAAATTTCAGCAAGATGTTTCAAGTTTTAGATTTTATGGAGCTTTGCATGGTATGTATCAACGGATAAAAAGGTTGATTACAAAAAAAAAAAATTGATTTTTAAAAATTAGCTCATTTCCCTCAAGATTTTTTGAAAACAATTCAGTGTGTTTGGTTTGAGTTTTTTGAATTAAGTTTTTTGAAAACTCAGTTTTTTGGTTTTCGTATTTTTTTGTTTTTAGTGAATATTTTTAAAATTTTAAACATTTTTTTTTACTTTTTTAGATGCACCTTACTTAGATGTATCTAAAAAGTAAAAAATTTGTGAAAAAACAACAAGCACAGCAAAATATAGTATAATCATCTTTCTCATTGAACTAAGATTCAAGAGTTTGCAATTACAAAGTTTATATTTCCACAGTACCTTGAACTCATCTCCAAGTTCAATGACCTAAATGATATTACAAAAAGAAAGGCCCCCAAGGGCATGCAACATTCCAAAATGCTAACTTGGTACAACAAAGTAAGTTTCTAAAGTTGTAATACAAAATTACTGGTCTTAACAACCAAAATGTTCTTGATCTATCAAGTCCAAACTGAACCACTGCTAAATCCAAGTCACTTCTAAAGTGGTATATCATCATCTACTGAAAAAGAAATAGGGGTGAACCATATTCCCAATAAGAGTACATTTAACCAAGTATTTAATCATTTAAGCAAGCCCACAGCATCATTGAGACAGGACAAGGTGAGTAATTAACATACATTTATAAACATAGTTAATTATGTAAACTAATGCACAGTTGAATAATCACACTTCCATCTCACACCAAGCATCATCATATTGAAAGGAAAACAAACCATGAGTCCCCCATAAGAGTCTGAATTAAAATTCAAATCACTTCAAGAAAAAAACCTTCCCACATTTACCGGCTATTATACAGTAGGACGTGGGCACCCAAAATCATCTGTTTTTCCACTTTTACTAGTTATAAGACAGTAGGACTAGTGGACACCCAAAACATTTTTCCAACATTCGTCCAGTGACAAGCTCAAGATAGGGCAATTGGGCACCTTAACTCCTCGCACGGGTACCAACACACACAATCACAACAAAATCGACTCTTAACCAAAGACTCATGCTCAATTTGCCAAATTTTCATTCATTCAACAAGTATTCAACACAAGACGAAATGAGACACAACATCACACTCAAGAAGAACCAAATTTTCATTACAATATCCACATATTTTCTCCTTTACTGTTCACAAGACTCCAAGATTTTAAGAAAATTGCAATTAAAATACTACTCTATACTTAGTTGGAAATTAGGGTTTTTAGTTAAATTTAGGGATTTCCCTCTATTTTTATATATATAATTTCTCAACATTGATTTGATTGACATACGGGTAACAAGTGAGTAGAATGACCCTATTTGTTAAATCCAAAGTTTAATCCAACTCAATCATTCAATCAAGCTTTAAAATCACAACAATACCATACAAATTCCTTCAAATCAAAGAAATACTAGGTTAAAGGTAACCCTACCTCAAGTTATGAGCCCAAGAATTAAGGTTCTAGAAGAACTCTTCACCAAACAAAATTCCAATCAGTAAATATGATGATCTTCAAGTGTTCTTCACCCTTTGTAAGAGCTTTAGGTTGGATCTCAAGAGAATAAGGAGTATTTTGAAGTGGAAACTTAGGGTTTTTTGGGCTTGAGACAAGAAGAAGGAAGAGAGAAAAGACGAGTGGAGAGAATGATCTAGAATCGTACTTTTTAAAGTGCAGAATTGCGTAAACCACTCGAGTTCAACTTCCTTCGCTCTAGCGGACAACACAATTACGAGAAGATCACTCGAGCGATAACTCTATCGCTCGAGTGAAAAATGAAAAATCCCAGAATTTTTGCAGAGCTATAGTGAAACTACTGGGAGCTCACATTCTACGCTCAAGCGGTCCCGCCTAAAAACTTGCGAGATACTGAGAGCAGCAATTCTCCGCTCGAGCGGTTACCTGGAACAAAATGTCACAATCTCTCCCCCTTAGGAAATTTTGCCCCCCAAATAGCATTCACTCCCAATTTGATAATAAGGTATAGCATAATAATATACTTATCAATTCTTAATAACATCCAATTAAACAACCTATCAATTAAAAACCAAAACCAAAAATAGGGGAGGATTTGAAGATCACCATTTATTTCCAATCTATTATATACAAGAGGAAAGCAAGGAGAAAAATTACATCACAACTTTGAAAATAAATCTGGATATTTCTAGTGGACTTCAGCTTCACATTCCCATGTCGCTTTTTTAACACCGTGATGGAGCCACAATACTTTAACTAACGGAATTTTCTTACCCCTTAACACTTGTTCCCATGTATCTAAAATTTGGATTGTTCTTTATTCATATGACACATCTTCATCCCCTTCAATCTCTGTCCAATCTAACACGTGAGAGGGGCCAGGTTCGTATTTGCAGAGAATGGACACGTGGAACACATTGTGAACCTCGGAGAGTTGTGGCAGTAAAGCAAGACGATATGCAACTTCTCTAATTGGTTCAATGATATCAAAAGGGGCGATAAATTGACGAGATAATTTTCCACTCTTGCCAAATCTCATTAACCCCTTCTTCGGAGATATTTTCAAAAATACGTGATCCCCAACTTTGAAAGGCAAAGGTCTTCGACGACGATTGGCGTAGCTTTTCTGTCGGCTTCGAGTCATGACTAATCTTTGCCGAATAAGAGCTACTTTTTCAATTGTCTCATGAAATAACTCGGGCCCAAGCATAGATGAGTCTCCAACTTCTGTCCAACACACCGGTGATCTACAGAGACGTCCATAAAGAGCTTCAAAATGTGTCATTTCAATACTGGCCTAGTAGCTATTATTATAAGTAAACTCAACTAATGGTAGGTCTTTAGACATTTGGACACGATTAAAGCTACGTCTTTCTTCATGCCTCTCCACCAAAATTGTTGGCTGAGGTCATGATACATTTTGGTGCCTCCCAGATGCACAGCAAGGTGAGAGTGATGGAAGTCCCGCAACACTTCATTCCTCATAGATGTAGGCACAAACAACTGGTCAAGGTAACGAATACTAGAGTCTGTATAGATTTTCAGGCCTCTTTCTTCTTTCTCTTGGCAGATTCTTTTTCTAATCACATCCACTTCTGGATCACCTAATTGTGCTTCTAATACTAGCACAACAAGGGTGGGTTGTGCCATAGTGTTAAATAGGATGGGTTGTTCCGAGGATTCATGAAGTTGCAAGTCAAATTCACTCACATCCCTCCTCATCTTCCATTCCCTTATTGTTAGATTGGCTAGAGTGCTTAAGGACTTTCTACTCAAAGCATCCGTTACAACGTTGGCCTTACCGGGGTGGTAGTGTATTTCAAAATCATAGTCTTCCAAGAATTCCATCCATCTCCGTTGACGCAAGTTGAAATATTTTTGAGAGAATAGATACTTGAGGCTCTTATAATTAGAAAAGACTTCAAATTTTTCACCATACAAATATGGTCTCCACAGTTTCAATGCAAAAACAACGCCGGCAAGCTCTAAATCGTGCATTGGGTAGTTCTTCTCGTGAGTTTTGAATTAGCGTGAGCCATACGCTACTACTTTGCCTTCTTGCATCAAAACGCCTCCTAACCCTTCCTTAAAGGCATCACAATATACGACATACCCTAAGCCACGTTTTGGAATAATAAGAATAGGAGCAGTAGTCAACCTAAGCTTGAGTTCTCAGACAGAGTTCTCACATGCTTCACTCCGAATGAAATTTCACTTCTTTACGGGTCAGCCTTGTCAAATGGGAAGCAATGAAGAGAAATTCTTCGCAAACCAGCGATAGTAACCAGCTAAACCTAAAAAAGTAGGAATTTCATAAACATTTTTAGGTTGTTCCCAATTCTGTACTACCTCTATCTTTGAGGAATCACCATAACTCCTTTTCCGGAGACGACATGGCCCAAGAACTTCACTTCTAGAAACCAAAGTCCATGTTTGGCACTTCTTTTCAAAAATCTATTTCTCAAAACGATTTGCCGAATTTGAACTCTTTGGTTCAGATTAAGAACCGTGACACAAATCGAGTCCGAACTGTAGCGAGGGCCCCCCACGCGGGCGCGTCTACAATGCCCTTCATGCTCCTCCTCGGAAGGCGAATAGATTAGAATATCATCTATAAAGACGACCACAAATTTGTCAAGAAACTCTCAGAAAATTTGATTCATAAGATCCATGAAAGTGGTTGGCGCATTAGTTAAACCGAATGGCTTGACCAAGAACTCGTAACGACCATATTGGGTATGAAAAGCAGTCTTGGGGATATCTTCCTCCCTAACTCAGATTTGGTGATAACCCAACCTTAAATCTATCTTCGAAAAACAACAAGAACCTTTAAGTTGGTCAAAAAGGTTATCTATTCGGGGCAAGGGGTATTTAGTCTTAACTGTAACTTGGTTCAATTTTCGGTAATCGATGCACAGTCTTACTAACCCGTCCTTTTTCTTTGCAAAGAATGCTGAAGCTCCCCAAGGTGAGGTGCTAGGGTGTATGAAGCCCTTACTTAGCAACTCCTGTAATTGTTCCTTCAGAATGACCAATTCAGCTGGAGCGAACCTATATGGCAACAAAAAGATAGACGTTGTGTCCGGTATTAAGTCTATAGTGAACTCAACTTCTCAGTGAGGAGGTAATTCAATGAGATCTTTGCGAAAGACGTCGAGATACTCACATACTACCCTTGGAAACCCATCCCAGACTGTAACATTTGTGTCATCTAAAAAGTCTGCTAAAAGAGAACTAAATTCATCGTGGCCAAATGGGCAGTACAATGAAAGTAAGAATTTATCACTCCCGTCTCCCAGAAATGTGAAATGGTTACCACTCAACGTGCATACGGTGACTCTCTGAAAAAATAATCTATAATAGCCCGATATGTAGACAACCAATCCATGCCGAGAATGACGTCAAAACCCGACATTTCCAACAACACAAAATTGAACGGAAGTTGTCGACCTGCCACCTCAATTACACAACCCTAAAATCCCTGGGTCAAAATGATTTTACCCCCGATTGGTGACTCTACAGTGAGTGAAGATTTTAATTGTTTACTTTCTAACCCCAACAACAATGCAAAAGAAGTGGCTATGAATGAATGAGATGTCCTAGTGTTAATCAACACACTAGCCCAGGTATTGAAAATAAGAAATGTACCTCTTACAACTAACAGCCCTTGACATTTCAATTGAGAATACATTAACAGCAGCATGCATCTCTCTCTTTGCATGTCAGTTCATAAAGAATATGAAATAAATATGTAAAACATATTCCCTCTAAATTTGCCTTACCATTGTAGATCTGTTAGGGAAAAACAAAAACCAAAATGCAAAACAAAAAACACAAAACAAAGAAAAAGCCAGATCAGAGCCTGGTTTGCAATTTTTTCCCCCCCAACAAGCTCTTTCACCTTAAGAACTTGCAAGAAAACTCGAAATTTAGGTTGGGGTGATGAAAAAAAATTCTTGTGTGCCTCTTCTAACTTGTCAAGGATCCCGGGCCAATGGCTGTGGTGTCCACTTGAGATGCAAATGTAGAATTCCCAATTTAGTTCCATCTATGGGGAATGTGTCGGTGAATTCCCCTTCTAATATAACCCTGGTGAGTGTCATGATGCATCTTCCCATTTTATCCTGACAAAGTGAGTCAAAGTTTGTGCAGTGGAATCATCAGTTAACAATAATGCTGCAACTACACTTTAAAAATCAGAAAAAATGGTGAGCAAGAAATTAGAAAAGAAAATTTAAACATTATAGGGATTTTCACAACATTATGAACGTAATAAAATAAAAATGTTAGTTCCTTGTAATATGCTTGACTTCTCGTAAAAAATATTTGTCATTCTTATTCTTTTGTGCTTGTGTGTGTCCAAGGGTGACATTTTCACAACATTACACAGATGGCAATAGAATACACTTGTATGCAAATCCTAAAACATGTCTATTGAACTTCTATTATATTCCACATTGTATAAACTAAACACCAGATTAATCACTATCAAACAAATGAGGTCACTGAACGAAAAGCCGGATTTTCCAACCAAACAAGGAAGAAATTGAAGGGACTAATTGGAGATTACCTTCCCGAAAGTGTCGTGATCATAGACTTCTGTGATTAGTAAATCATGTAACCCATCCTCAACTACAAAGTCAAATGTCTAGTTCCAAACTGGATTCAAGGTGTTATTTACAACCTGAGAATGAGGAAAGAATAGGGTTCAGGCTCATTAGTTGAGTCTATAATAAGCAATGGTTGTAAAACCACATTAATAAATCTCCAAATTAGGGAGGGGACATAAGTGATTGTATTAATGTTAGAATATATTCACCAAAGTATTACCAAATTTTTAAAGAAAAGAAAAAGAAAAAGTTAATACTTTACACAATGAGTGAATCATATGTTCTTTTGGCTAGCAATTAAGGTTATGTTTGGATGAATAATTTGAGTAAGGATTTATGGAGGAAAAGGAAAAAGGAAGGGAAAAGTTTATAATTAAAATTTAAAAAAAAAAAAAAAAACCTATATTCAAATTAGCTAGGTAAAACATCATCTCAAGCCGAATTGGTGAAAATTTCGTCAAGACTTGTCGTTTTTAAAGAATTCGAATCCTTGAATGTGATTTTTTGTAAAGTGATTTTAAAGTGATTTTTTAAATAACTTAATTTTAATTTTACAAAAATTAAAAGTACAATATGAAAAATCACTTTTAAAAAAAAATCTAAACCATATAAAAATCATTCCAACATCACTATACTCTAGAAGATTTGCACCCTTTTTTCAATGCCTGATTGTTGAAAACGAGCTTTCTTATATATCAATATTTTTTTTTTTGATCGGAAAAAATCAATTGTCAATTATTAGATTAGGCCAAGTTTGGCAAGTCCCAAATAATCCATCTTTTTATCTTTTTATCTTTTTTTCATCACATCACCTCTCTACTTTTCTGCACATCTTTTCGTAAAAAGACAAATGCTCACAAACAACGAATCTAGAACAAAAGCAGATCAAACGTGTGATACATGGACTCTTCTACTTCCCTTAGTATGACAAGGATTAAGGGTGTGGGATATTTGTCCAACACAGTACCTAATTTAGATACTTGGATTCACAATATTTGAAGAAGAAGACGTTTACATTTGCTAGTAAATAAATATTTCTCTCACATGAATGGAAGGTATAAATTTCATATTTTTCCTAAATTCTATTTAATTTGAAGTACATTTCTAAATAATTTATAACACTATGTAATAATATCATACAATATCTGCTCTGAAGAAGTGACAGCATATACCCTTCCTTGTGAGCTCTGTTCTCCCAAATCACCTCTATGAGCATAAGTTTGTTGCGCGGATTGTGAAGATATGGTCCCCTAAGCTGTTCTAGATGCTTGGCCTGACTGAGCTAGCTGGTGAGATTGTCTCTGTCCCTGGACCATCTGAAAACCTCTAGACTGTCTAGATCCTGTCACACTAGTAGTCCCCGCTCTCTGTGGACAAAACTTCTTCAAGTGCCCCGATTGGCCGCACTAATTACAAGTCCATGACTAGCCTCTATTCTGAGATTGGCCCCGTGGACGCGCAGGTTGGGATTGTGTTCTACTCTTTTTTCCACACTTTGACGCTTTGTGACCCAATTGGCCACATCTATAGCAAGCACCAGGGATTCAACCCATACTCCCTAAACTTCCACCTATCACAGAATCAGAAGATTTAGCATGTTGTGGGGGTGATTGAAATGATGACGATGAACCTCTAGACCTTTTTGAAGAGCCTGGGTCGCCTTTAGATTCAGAATGTCCCGTCCTCTTCAATTTCTGCCTTGCCTCCTCTGCCTCTACCATGATCTCTACATGGGATATGGCCTCTACTAGGTGATCGTCATCACAAATCATATTTCCCACTATTTTCATTATAATTTTCAGCCTCAATCTCTTTTCAAATTGTAAACATCAATGTTCCTCAGTTGCTACTAGCTTTGGTGCAAAACAAGATAAACTACTGAATGTGGCTTCAAACTCAGCCACAGGTGTATTGAGTTTTAATAGTTCTTCAAACCGTTTCCTTAACCACTCCCTAGTTGTGGAAGGGAGGAACCTCTCTTGGAAGGCGTGCACAAATACCTCCCATTTGTGCTAAAAAAACTTCTCTTTGAAGGCATGCACAACAACAAGCACGACAAAATATAGAATAACCATGTTTCTCATTGAACTACAATTCAAGACTTTGCAATTACAAAGTTTATATTTCCACAGTATCTTGAACTCATCTCCAAGTTCAATGACCTAAACGATATTACAAAGAGAAAGGCCCCCAAGGGCATGCAACATTCCAAAATGCTAACTTGGTATAACAAAGTAA